CATCGTCAGAGGGCAGAGCTGTGCCCCCCGTGGGATACTCCCCAGGGCCGGGCCCAGGGCCACCCTCTGCGTTGGGGGCCAAGAGCAGACGGGCCTGCTGTGGGTCAGGGCCTGTCCGGGGACGTCTCCCACTGCGGGGGCTGTACTCTGCTTCCGTAGGAGCCTCAGGGCACCCAGCGCCCAGGACAGGCGGGCAGACGTTGGGGACACTGTGTCCATTGTTCCCAGGATGGGGGTGGGGCCCAGACAGAGCAGGCCGACCCTTCGCTGCCACAGGAGGAGGGTCTCCTTGAGGGGCCTTAGCCTCTACCCAGGACTCTTTCATGACCAGGAGGCTGAGGGCCCTCACAGGCGGCTGCTTCCTCTCTCCTTGACCCAATCCGGAGACATTCCCAGCACCCCCAGGGCTTCTAACTCTGGGTCCCCCTCCCTCAGCCGGAAGCTGTCAGCAGGTGCCCTGTTCTTGCTCTTGTCCAACCCTGACCAGGCTGGGTGCCCAAGGGCACTCGACCAGTGTCCCCCTGGCCATGGCCTAGGTCTTTTGTGCCCCTCACTAACTCAGGGACATGGTGGGGGGTGACCCGTGCTAAGACCCTGAGCTAGTGGCCTCATTAACCCACTAACCAGCCATGCAGCCAGCCCAGGCACGCGCGTGGGCGGTGGGGGAAGGGCCTGTTAGAGCAGGACAGGAGGGGCCGTGGCTCCCTCCCCTTCTCCTGCCTCTGCCTCCTCCTCACCCCTCTGCCTTGCCTGGCCCGCACCTCTGCACCCCTTCTTCCGGGCAGCTCACGGATAGGAGGCGGGTGTCGCTGTGGGAGGCCTTCCTGAGGAGGGAACAGCTTGACAAAGGCGGGCAGCTTCCCGCAGCTGGGGGTGTGTGGGGTGTGCATTTGTTGGGGGCGTGGGTTAGAGCAAGGTGTGTGTGACAAGGGGGGTGGGGGTCCCATGTGGAATTATGTCGGCCCAGACGGGCCTTTATCGCACGCAGGGATGCCCTTTGAGAGAGCCTGAGTGGACAGTGCTGGACACTGCATGGTTCTCCAGACCCTGGGTGCCAGGGGTGCAGGGCCTGAAGGGAGGGCCCGGCCGAGTCTGCTTGTTCCACCAGCTGCCTGGGTGCCTCTGGTGGGGTGGCCCAGGGCCTCACTCTGGGAACCACTTGGTGGGAAGTAGTCAGAAGGCCATGCCTCCCTTCTTCCTGCCTCTACTGGGCAAGTAGCCCCGCCCCTGAGGTCGGCCCGCCTCGCCGTCCTCTTCTGCCCAGGCTGCTGCTCTGTGCAGAACTTAACTGACCCCTTGGGAGGCCTGGGGTAGGCTGCCGGGGCGGCAGGGTCAGGTCTTCCGCTGAAGGCATTTCAGAGACGAATCCGTGTGTCCTGGAAGACCCTGTCAACGGTCAGGCTGCGGGGCTGCTGTTTGGGTCCAGGATCTTAGTGATGTCCATTGGCCAGCAGCAGGGTCCTGGGTGGTGGGGGGGCGGGGGGGCGATGGGTTCTGACTGGTGGTACTCCGTCTCCCTTGGGGTGTAGGCCAGGGCTGCCCCAGGGTGCGGGGAGGGGCCTCCAGTTCCAGAGCTCCTGTCACACCTCTCACACGGGGACCTGTGTCAGGACCCCGACTGGATCTGCGGTCCCCTGCAGGAGGGATGGGAGAACCTGGATCTGAGGGGTAAGTACCACCAGCTGCCGGGTGCAGGTGCTGTTGCGTGTTCCAGACTCAGGCCAGGCCTGGAGGTTGGAGCGCTCAGGGCCCCCGTTGGGGTGGCCTGAAGGTGGAGAGAGGTTGACAGCCTCCCCTGGGGTGGACTCGGGGTCTCACTTGTCCTTTGGACGCTGTCGGAGCTTGGAGGGTGCCAGGAGTCTGGGAGTGGGGGGAGGGGGACGTGGTACACGCAGGCGTGGCCTAGAGTAGCCACATGTCTGTGTGATGGTCACTTGTTGTCCAGAGTAACCAGACGCTTACCTTGAGGTTTCACTTCTTTTGCGGTGACCTTGATGTCAAAACCTGGTATGTCATTTAATACTAATTTTCTTGTTTATTTGTTTTAGGAGACAAAAGGTTTGTATCTTGTGTTTTTTAACCTTTTCTTGAGCGGGGGAGGGGGCTCACCACCCAGTGTTTGCAGCTGTCCTAGCTGGGGCTGCCTCTCTTCTCTGGCTGGGGAGAACACCCCCGTCAGGTGGTGGGGAGGCAGTGTACTGGCAGCCCCAGCGTGCGTGTGTGTGCGTGTGTGCGTGTGCGTGCGTGTGTGCGTGTGCGGGTCAGGATGGGAAACGTGTGCACCAAGTGCGTGTTTGCACTCCCCACTGAAGGGTGGGGCTGACTGTGACAAATTTTCCATTTGACCTTAACTGGGAGGTTGTCCCTTTGACCTTTGTCCACTGGTGCTGGCCTGGGCTGCAGGGGTCCCGGGCTTATCTGCTCATCCCCCAGTCTTGTAGGTTTGCCCTGGGGGTCCAGTCTCTGGTACCCCAAGGGCCGCCTGAAGAAGGGACTAGTGCTGGGAGCGACCCCCGGCTCTGGCCCAAGGGAGTTCACCCCCAGGCATTCAGAAGCAGCAGAAGAGTGTCACCTGGGAACAGGTGGGATTTTAGGAACTGAGGGCCCTTGAGGATTGTGTCCTGTTGTCCCTGAAAGTCCCCTTCCCTCTTGCCACATCCCCATCTGACAAGGGAAAATAGGCCTGAAGACTGGACAGCCCAGCCACGGTCACTCAGCAAGTCAGTGTTGGGGGCCAGCAAGGGGAATGCTGGGGTTGTTGCAGCTGAGCCCCTGCCCTTGACCCATGGCACCTGCCCATGGCCTCTTGGTGCTGCTATCAGGGGTGGACAGACAGACGGCAGTGGGCCCCTTGGCTCCTGGAGCTGCCGTGATGTCAGCTGGTTGTGGGACTGGTTCCCAGGCCCTACGACCATGGTGTGCCAGGTGGGGTGGAGTGGCCAACAGGAAGGTCCCCGATCCTGGGTGTGCTCTGACCCTCCTTGGCCAGCGTCAGATTGTGCCCTCTTTGGGCCTCGCTTTCCCCAAGTGTACCCTGGATAAAGGGCAGTAGGAGGCCATGCACAGGTGGTGACCACAGACAGGGACTCCAAGGGCCCGGCACCTCCTTTGTGACCCATTCGGTCATCACAGCAGCCTTAACTGGTCCCAGTGACAGATGAGGACACTGAGGCCGGGGGAGGGGTGTGCAGTCCCTCAGCCTGGGACAGGAGAGGGTGGAGACAGGCCCCTGGCTGTGAACCTGGAGCTCCTGACCATGACCTCCAGGTGCTGCCATCAGGGGTAGATGCCTCAGCAGATGGATGGGTGGGCGAGGCCCGTGGCCCTGGGGGCCAGGAGGGCACGGGGTGAGGCCAGTGAGGAGCTGGGCGGCTCAGGCGGCGGGTCAGTGGAGGGTGCAGCTCTCCTTGGGATGAGTGGGCAGCGCAGGCTTCTAGGGGGCTGGGAAGTCAGGCCTCTGCAGAGCCCCTGACCTTCGACCCTGAGGTCTGCTCGGTGATCTCATGGGGATGCCACCAGGGGCAGATTTTTTTGCCAGGAGCACAGACCTGGGTGTCCGCAGAGGCCCAGCTAAAGTTCCAGGGTGGTCCCTGTGCAGGGTGGGGCAGGGGTGCTCTTGGAGGTCTGAGGCTGCTGCTGGGTGGGGGGACCCCGAGGCCAGGGGGGGGGGGTCCTGGGTGAGCAAGTGCAGGATGGTGGCATGAATGAGACCACTCCCCCTTCTCAGGGAGGTACACCCTCAAAAGAGTCCTTTTGCACCTTCAGGGCTGTGAGGAGCTTGGCCTTCTCCACTGGCGGGGGGTGGGGGACAGGGCTCGAGGCTGGGGCTTCTTGGTTCTCAGACCCTAAGTCAGGAGGCCGAGCACAGCCTGTGCACCTCCACTTCTCATATGGGAGAAGGCCCAGGCCGGGGGTAGCACTTGGGTTTCTGGGATCCCCAGTCTGGACCCTCAAGAAGAGGCAGCTCCCAGTGTCCCCACCTTTCCTGGGGCCTGTTTCAGGGGAGAGCCCAATCCCCCCATCTCCCCTCCCTTTGCCTTCTCCATCCTGTCCGCCCCCACCCTCCACCTTCAGAACAAACCATACAGTCAGATACTCTTTTATTCTGCTTTATTGTGGGGGGGGCAGGTGGGGGGAAGGGGAGGGGAAGGGTCTCCTCCCTGAGGCAGAAAGCCGTAGTCTCTCGGGCTCTCAGCAACTGGGCACAGTCCGCGGGGTCTCGCCCGCCTCAGTCTTTTGGAGCCCTTGTGTTGCCAGCCCTGGGGGGGGGGGGTCACACGGTCCTGTGGGGTCACAGGGACTCTCAAGCTTAGTCCGGTAAGTACTGGTACGATGGGACGTTCTGTGGAGCACGGTGTCCAGGTAAGAGGCAGGGTCAGGGTCAGGCAGTCAGCATGGAGAGGGCTGGACCAGACTGTGGGGCGGCTGGCTTTGCAGGGGGTGGTGGGGGAGGGATGGGGAGGCACCGCAGCACAATGAAGATGAGGGTGGGGGGGGGGCCAGGCCCAGGGGACCAGGAGCACCGGTCTGGAGGTAGAAGAAGTCAGTGGAGCACCCAAGGTCAGTGTCCCAGGACGGCACACTGTGTCACGTGCCAGTTCAGGGGGGTGGGTCCCCGGCATCTGCTTGCTTGGCTTGCTGCCTCTGCTATGCCTGCTTCCTCATCTGGCCTGGGGTCATGGGGTCATTTTTGCTCATCACTGCTTTCTCCAGTCATTGATGTCACCCCAGGGTTGGACCTGGGACCTGGAGAGTGGATTCGGAATGTGTAGCCCTGAACTGGCTCTGGGTTTCTGGTGACAGGCTAGTCTGTTGGCCCTGGTGATGTTGCTGGTGGAAGAGTTGAAGACAGCATTGCCCTTGCTGAGTGGGTTCCCCTGGGGTCAGGAGAGGCCAGAGGAGCACTGGGTCTGAGATGCAGGCTGAGGCAGGAGGAGGCTGGTGGAGAGTCTGGTGTCGGGCAGAGGAGCAGAGGGCTCGCGGCTGGCGAGGAGGTGTTTTTAGTGATTGTCTTGCTCCTCGTCATCCTCGGGGAGCTCTTCCAGCCTCGCCCCGCCCCTGGGCTGTCTGCCCCGGCGCGGGAGCGGGGCCTCCGCGCAGATCATGGCCAGGAAGTGGGCCAGGGTCCTGGCCGCGGGGTCCTGGTGAGCCAGGGGGCGCTGATCTGGGGAGCGGGACAGGTGGCTGTGCAGGAAGCTGAGGATCCCCCCAGAGGCCTGCTGGGGCTCCTGGCGGGCGGGGTTGGGGTCGGAGGCCGCAGCCTCCGGCTCCTGGTCCCCTGGGGCATCCTCCCCTCGCGCGCCGCCCTGCACGTCGTCCGCCTGCGCGTCCTGCGAGGTGTCTTGCAGGCCGTCATGCAGGCCACACTGACGGTATCGTTGCAGGTCGTCTTGCAGGGCTTCTCGCAAGACGACATCACTCCCGACGACGTGCAGCTCCAGGTAGCGGCTCCCGAGCCGGAGGCGTTGGGGTCCTCCTCGGGGGGTAACTCGGACCCCGAAGCGCTCGCACAGCATCCTCTGGAACTCAGGTGGCAGGTTTAGGACCCGGGAGGCCCGGGGCACCAGGGCCCTCTGCTCAGCCCGACCCTCGGCCGGGACCGCCTCAGTGCCCCCAAGACGGGGCATCCGGGTCAGCAGCTGGGTGATGGCCGCGGCGATGCCGCGGTTTGTGAGGAAGGACGAGTCCAGGATGAGGCGCAGGGAGGGCCTGGCTGGAGACAGTGCCAGCGCGGTGCTGGGTGCGGGCAGCAGCGGGAGGCGCTGCTTGGCCCTCAGCATCACCAGCAGGGCCGCCGTGGCCAGAGCGTTCTTCCAGAACAGCAGGCCTCGGAAAAAGTGCAGGATGACGGCCCTGATCTGGGCCACGCTGAGGTGGACGAGGAGGCTGCAGAATATCTGGTCAAGCTGGAGCTGAGTTAGGAAGTCTTGCTGTTGGGCCTGCCCAGCTCCCCTCCCCTGGGCAGGGGCATCTTCGTTCTCCTCCTCTTCCCCATCCGGGATCCTGAGGGATCCTTCCCTGGCGCCGCGCCGCCGGGTGCGGGTGGCAGGGCGGGCCCGGCGCGGCCTGCGGTGGGGGCTGCGCCTGGGCAGAGGCCAGTCGCTGTCTTGTTCGGGCATCTCCATGACGTCGTAGTGGAAGTGGGAGAAGACGTGGATCCAGTGCCCCGGGAGAAGTACGGTGAGCCTGTCATTATTCAGAGAGGCTAGATCCTCTGTGTTGAGAAGGATCATGATGGGCTCCTCGGTGTTCTCCAGGTAGCTGCGCCACACTGTGAAGGCAGCCTGGATGGGAAGAACCCTCATTTCCACTTCAGAACAGTCGACTTCCATGGGGGTGATGATGCGGGAGTAGAAAGCACAGAACACCCTCTTGCCGGTGTGCTCGTCCACTTGGATGAGGGCGGCGTGCAGGGCGGTCTCCGTGATGCCTGTTTCCAAGTAGAACTGTTTCTGGCGCTTCGGGTGGTGGAGCAGGGGTGCCTTGCGGAAAGCCCGCTTCAGGCATTCGAAGGCCTCCTGCTGCTCGTCCCCCCAGCGGAGGGGGCAGGTGGTCAGCAGCGGGCGCACCAGGGGCTCCGCGATGAGGGCGAAGCGCTCCACGAAGTTGCGGTAGGGAAAGACGAATTCCACCAGGTGTCGCAGGGATTTCTTAGAGCCAGGGATCGGGTAGCCCGTGACGGTGTTCACGATGTTCTTGTTCAGCCTCACCCCTTTGGGGGTCAGGACGAATCCCAGGAACTCGGCAGTGTGCCGGTGGAACTGGCTCCTGTCCAGGGAGCAGTAGACGTGGTGGTGCCGGAAGCGGACCAGGACTTGGCGGACGTGTTGGAAGTGCTCCTCCTGGCTCATGGAGTAGATCAGGACGTCGTGTCCGTAGGAGAGCACAGAGCGGCCCAGCATGTCTCCCAGGATGCACTGCAACGTGCTCTGAGGGATGAGAGGGTCTGAGCACACCACGAAGGGCTGGTAGCTCTCTGCCTTTTGGAGTTCCACCCCGAACGCCACTTTCCACACGTCCTCTGCTTGCTGTATCTTTGTGCTCCCCTCCACAATGGTCCCGCGCAGCTCCAGCTTTGTAAACCATGTAGCTCCGTGTAAGTGGTTGAACAGTTCTGGAATCGCGGGTACGCTGTCCTGTCTGTCGGTGAGCATGCCCTGCAGGTTCCCGGATCCATCCCGCCGCCTGGCTGTTTCTTGCATCCCAGCATCCACAGGTTCCCAAGGAGCCGAAGAGGGACATTCGTAGAAGGTGTCGCTGTGATCACTGTCTCCAGCCTGCTGAAGCTCAGAGGGCTCTGATTCAGAAAGATCATCGGATCCGTCTGAGCTTGGCTGGTCGGAAGTCTCATCATCTGCTTCCTTCGGGTTGAACACGTCGGCAAGGTCGGAGTACTGGGGCGGCAGTCCGGGCAGCAGGCTTACGGCATGTCTCTCGAGCGCGATGCACGGCGGGGGCGGGCGGAAGCAGTTCTTCAGGCAGTAGGGAGAGTGGAAGGTGCAGCGGCCATGGGCCCAGTCAACTTCGGGGGTGTGGACTCGGAGCCAGTTGATGCCCAAGATCACGGAGAAGTTGGGTGAGGGAACGATGTCGAATTCAATGGACTCCTGGTGGTTCTGATGAATGCATACCAGGGGCTCGGTGTGGAGCCAGACCGGTTCGTTGCCAATCATCGAGCCGTCCATGGTGTGGATGGGCTGTGGGTAGGGTTTCTCGTACAACTCGACGTAGTGCTCTTGGGCAAACCTCTCATCCATGAAGTTGGCGCTGGCCCCTGAGTCCACCAGGGCCTGGACCGCGACGCTGTGGTAAGGGTTCACTCTCACCATGAGCAGCAGGAAGAGGTGCTCGCGGTCACGGGTGGGCTGGACTTCGCACGGCAGCCAGCTGCTGACCCCCCACCTCTCTGGAGCAGGTGAGTCGATCCAGGTCATGTTCCGAGGGCGGATCTCGGGGGGCAGCCTGAGCACGGCCCTTCTCTCGGCCAGCTTCTCTTCTATCTGCAGGATGAGCACGATCAGACTGTCCAGCGAGTCTGGCTGAGGCACCCGGAACAGATAATACCGGATTTCCTCCTTGAGCCCCTGGCACAGGTGCGCCTGCAGGACTTCGTCTGCCCAGCCCAAGGTGGGTATCAGGCTCCGGAACTCGTTGATGTAGTCGATGGCGGCGCGATCCCCTTGCCTGATGTTGAGCATGGCGTCTTCCGCCACACGCAGTGCCTGCCTGTACTCGAACATCTCTGACATGGACTCCAGGAAGGCCGGGAAGTCCCGAATCAGGGGGCTGTCTTCCTGCGCCAGACCTTTGGCCCATTCGAGAGCCATGCCCGAGAGGTGGCTGGTGACGTACCTGACTCTCAGGCTGTCGCTGTAGAAGTGCCTCGGGTAGCTTTGTAAGATCAGCTGGCAGAGCACCACAAACTCGTGGTATTCCCGGCGGTCGCCCGAGAAGCGTTTGGGCACGGGCAGCTGGCCCGCGCTGATCCCTTTCATCAAGATCTCTTCCGCCACCCTTTGCTGTTCTTTGAGGTCGTGCATCCGGAAGTACAGAGAGATGAGGGACCTCAGCCTGGTCCTGAACTCCCCGGCGGAGGCCTCGGTCGGCTCTTCAGGATACTCCTCCTCTTCCCATTCAGTCAGGTCAGTGTCATAGTCTTCCTCGTCCAGGTCTCCCCAAGGGTTGACTGCTGCTTCTTCCATGTTACCAGGTGCCTTGCTGACTGGACCCCCCACTTCCTGATGTGCACCGTTGCGTGACTCCTCCAGGTCTTGGAGTAGGTCATTGGGTGGATCCTTAATTTCCCTATGTGGGCCACTGGATGGCTCCTCCATGTCTTGGTGGAGGTCAATGGGCAGCTCTTCCGTTTCCTGGGTGGGGCCGTGGGCCGGCCCCGCCACCTCCTGCGCTCCGCTTGCTGTCTCCTCGGTGGTGTTGGATGAGCCCTCGGAGGACTCCATTTGTTTTGATGATGGATTCTTACGCTCCATCATCGTCTCAAATGAGTCTTCAGAGGGTTCTATCATTTCGTCGGATGGAAAGGAGTGTTCTCTGAAGACTGGTAGGTGGAGATGTGTCCAGGCAGACACGGGGACCGCAGCAACCAGAACCTGGTGGGGGAGGGGAGCGGGCAGTAAAGGCAGTGGTTTAGGGTCTCGAGAGGTCAGGGTCAGGTGTTCCATGGCAAACCTGATGCCCCACACATCGGAACAGAAACTGGGGAAGCCTCTGGGTCCCACTTGGGCCCACAGAAAGAGAATAGAGACTGTCCATGAACCCCTGACCTCCTGGCCGCCTCTCCCCGCTTCCTCTGCCCGTCTGGCCTGCCTGCTTCCCCATGGCTGGGAGAAATTCACAGCCCATAAATTTGTGGGGCAATGGGCCCAGAGCCCCGTGGCAGGCAGGCACCTGGCAGGATTTCACCCTGGCACCCGTGTCTGGTCAGGGCTCCTTCCCTCTGTGGTCACCCGAACGTCACCGAGCTCACCTCTCAGGCCCTGCAGAGGTGGCCCCGGCAGGCGAAGGCGGAACCTCCAGCGGGGACGCCTGCTGTTTCCCGAGTTCAGGGGAAGAGGAGGAAACGGGGCACTTGGCCACCCTCCTGTCAGCTGGGTCAACTAACTGCCCAAAATAGCTTTCTTTCCTCCCCTAGATTCAAAGTAGAAATTGCGGGGGCTGGATTTAGAGCTTGGGATTCCAGGTTTTATTTTTTTTCCCCAAAAACGTTTATGCCACAACCAGAATGTGTCAGAGACGTTGCGCCCTGATCCTAAGTCGGAGTTTCTTGCCGATTTCTCCTCCCCTCTTTCATAACTTGCACTGCTGTGTTCTCCCCAGCTCTGAGCTGCTGAGGGAACCTGCCAGGCCCCCCCCCCCGAAAGTCTTGCTCTCCCTCAGTTCCACACTTGACCCCCCCAGTCCTGACCCCTTCACGGTAGCCGACCACCCCTCTCTGTTGCTGGTTGGTTTTCCCCCAATGTAGGGGTGTATCTAGTGGAGTTGGGATGTTGAATGAGGGGTAGAGGTGAGGAGGTAGCCTTGACATCTGATTGTCTTGGAGGGGGTTTTTGAAAATCTGGTCACACGGGTGTTTTTAGTGGGCCAAGCATGAGTTTAATGAGATGTTACTGCTTTTTTATATGTGTGACACCTTCGGTTACTTCTCAGTTTTCAACTTAACCACTGGGCCAATCCATTAAAAACAAACAAACATTCATGCCCTTCTGTAAAACTCCTCATTGGTTAAAACCCAACGCTCCCAGCAAAGTTCGGGTCTGCTGTTTCTCAAACTGATGTCCCCTGGCGTTAGCGTGGCAGTGAAATTTGACCCCGCAGGCCCGCTCATGAAAACCGTGGGCTGTTTATTTGCTGCCTACAGTATTAAGTCCAAATCTTTTAGCATAAAAATTCCTGACACATAAACTCACCAAAATCATTTTCTGGGTTAAAATGTCAAGGCCTTAGAATAATAGAAAATTCTGATCATGCCATTTCTCAAGGTAGCAATTACTTTTTTTTTTTTTTTAAGCATAAAGTACAAATTACGTAAAATCCTCCCTCTCGTCACCATCCTCTTCATCATCACCATCCCTGTCAGTACCATCAGTAATTCCATCATACCAACATACACAGAACACCTTGCATACATGAACTTGTTTTCTCATCGTGAAAAGTCCTATAAGGCAGATGTTATTATTGTAAAATTCCAAGTCTCTGATAGAAAATTCTAATTGAAATACAAAATTTGATGAAGTAATTCATCATTTATTTCTATTAGGAATAAAAATCTCAGTATGTCTCTTAAAACCCTTTATTGTCTAAAATTTTAAATTAAAAAATTTAAATTGGTTAAAATCTAAAATTTAATGTAAAATCTCAGTATCTCACTAAAAACCATTAAAACTGTTTATTGGCTAATATTTAAAGTAAAAATATTTGATACAAGATAAAATTTAAAATCACAGTTTGTCTCTTAAAACTCTTTATTGGCTAATATTTAAAATTTCAAACTTTAAATCGATTAAAATTTAAAATCTTAGTTTGTCTCTTAAAATCCTTAAACTCAATTGGTTAAAATTTAAGCTCCTTAGCAAGATAATTAAAAAACTAGATTATACCCCTTCCATAATATAAAGTCTACAATTATTAATGTATTTACAAATTTGATGATATAACTGATTAAATCCTTCAACATTCTTGTCTTCAACTTAAAATCTAATATTCTCGGCATATTATAAAAACCTGATCTTAATATTCCTTTTAACATCAAAGTTCAAACTTTTAGCAAGATGCATAAAAGTGACCTCTTAACGTCTCTATTTAAAACTTAGAGAAGTTTATTTTCCCTGCTTATATAAATATAAAATTCCAATCACTAATCATACAATTAACTTTTTTTTACCATGTAATTTATTTGCAAACCAATAAATATGGAACCCAAAATCTTACCTGGCTACTTCTTAAACCCTTTATTGACTTAATTCCAAACTTCTAAGCCGATACAAAAATGTGACCATGTCATTTCTCAAAATAAAAGGTCACACTCTCTTCTAAGATACATGCATTTGGTCTTGTAACTTCTGCATAAAACCCTATGATAGCTCTTAATGACCTCTGAGACAAGATCTAAACTCCTTCGCGTAAAATATACATCTTATTTTATCATTTCTCTGTGCACTGTTCTTATCAAACACGGGAATTTCTCCACGTCCCTCGGTAAGATCTCTTAGTGGCTGAAATCCAAGTTCCTTAGGAGGCCTAGAGTTGGGTTCCTGTCCTTTCTCCAAATGGTGTGCTAACTTCTTCGCATGCTCTGGGAATTCCGTCATGTGACCTCTGCGAGAGCCCGCCCCGCCCCTCTCCCTTCTATGAATGATCCAGATCCTCAGCAGGTGGGAGCTCTGGTGCCAGAGCGTGCCTCCTCCGAGCTGTCCGCGCTCCTTTATTATCTGGTGCATCAAATCCAGACACCTTAGCATAAAGTTTGTTTTGCCAGCTCATTGCCCTGGAGGCAAAACTCATCAGTCACTGCTGAAAACCCTTGGCTGGCGGAAAACCTCGGCAGGAGGATTCCAACATGAGATCATATCCCTCCCTCAAATGAAACGCTCAAAGGCCTTCAGCTCTCACATAAAATCTCATCTCCTTGGCATGTTATAAAAATCTGATCATATTATCTTTACCATAAAAATCCACTTTTGTCGCTCTGCCGAAATGCATAAGTTGGATCGTGTAACTCCATCCGAAACTTCTCAAGGTTTCTTCATTGCCTTATAACATAAAGTCCCAACTACTTAACATAAAATGCAGCGCTTTACCATGTAATTTATCTTCAGACTGGTCTATAAAAAACCTTAAATCTCACCCCGCCATTCTTTTAAAGCCTTTATTGGCTTAGATCCAAACTTATTAGCATGATATAAAAATTCGATCTTGTCATCCCTTAAAATAAAATTCACACTTCCTAGCACAGTATATAAAATTTGATCCTGTAACACTGTCTTAAACGCTTATACTCTCTCTCAGTTGAGGAATTATGGAATAAAAGTCCAAGTTCTTAGCATAAAAGGCGAATTTTATTTTGTAATTTCACTGCATACTGTTTATCAGATACAAAAAAATCCCATGATGTCCCTCTCTTAGAACTTTTTATTGGCTAAAATCAAATTCCCAGGCATGTGCAAAATCTAATCATGTCAGCGCCTGGAAATAAATTCCAAGTGTGTTTGCATATTCCCAGTGTTGATCATGGAGGCCCTCTGATGGATGGCTTCCCCTTGTATGCCAACATCAATCAAGCCTTCTTGGCATGCTCCCAAACTCAGACATTCACATCCCCTCGACCCAAAGTCCAAATGTTTTAGCATGATGCTTAAATTTGTGACCGTTCATTTTCTATTTATAATTTTCAATGTTTCCTCAGTGCCTATAGCGTAGAGTCCAAAGCCATTAGCCTTAAGATACATTTGATAATGTTTATCTGTGGACTTAGCTCCCACCAGCAAAACCCTCACCATCACATTTCTTCAAACCCTTTGGCAGGAGCCCAAACTCTTCAGTATGATTTAAAAGTTTGATCCTGTCGCTCCTCAAAATAAAGTCCAGATTTCTTCCCCCAAACCCCCAAATCTGTTCACGAAAGCCCTACTGAAAATCCCTTCATGTATTTCCATCCCTTGTAAAATACCTCCACGTCTTAGCGTGGCACCCACATTTACATGTGGTGTTCTCAGGTTAACACCGTTCATACCTCATGTCCACCGCACGAAATCCGGCGGCCTGTGCGTCGAAGGAGAATTGAATCACGCGTTTGTTAAAGGGGAAAATCTTGATGCCGCCCTTCTCTACTTAGCATCTAAAGTCTAAATGCCTTTGCACAAAACCAACGTTTTTCCCCATCTCGTTTCTAGCTCCAGTCCCCGTTCCTCCTCATACCTCTCCCCGGAAAGACTGGGTTGCTGACTTTCTGCCCCCAAACACAGCTTGGTTTTATTGTCCCCGGGCCTTTTTGTGTTTGTAAGCTGGTACCCCGGTGTACAAGTCATTAATTCATACAGCAGCATGTCCTGATTCTTTTTCCGGGACAGGCGCTGGATCCCGGGGGTAACGAAACGGAGGCAGCCTCTCCCCGCCGGACACCTGTCAGCAGCAGCGAGGTGGGGACCACACCCTCACGGTTACATGTCAGGCTGGAGGTGAGTGCGGGGACTTGGGGGCCAGGCTGGGAGGTCTCCCTCTAACCCGGTGCACGTCTCCTTGGAGGGTTCTCTGGGCTCCACACTCCGCCCCTTTTTGAGGAGCTCAGGCCTTGTTGGGGTAATCAGTTCAGAAGGTGGAGGTACCTCCGCCCTCCCACCTATCCCTTTGTGCCGTCACCCCACTTCCTCTGACTCCTGGCCTCCACATGGGCGCAGCTGCCCCTGCTCCTCTGAGCTTTCCGTTCTAAGAACGTAGCTTGATGCATGCTGGGGTCTCAGACCTCAGGCCGGTTTCGGTAAGAAATATCTCCCGATCTAGAAATTCTTGC